GTCCTGCTCCTCTCTCTGCACCTTTTTTCTTGGCTGTTTTCTGGAATCTTCTGCAAACTGTCAGTCCTCATCCCAACTCCAGTTCCCCAGATTTTCACTCTACTGTGCGGGCTTGTTGGCCTCACTACCAGACCTGACTTCCATAGACATCACGCTTGTCTTCACTATTTTTCTCTGTAAAAGTTTTGTATGGCTGTTATGTGATGGCTTGGTGGTCCTCACTTGACCCAGAAGTCATTCCAGTCGACCAAGGTTACTTAGTATCACCTCTAACTAGTGGTGGTCCTCTGACACCCGAGGCTCCGACATATGCGCGGTAGCTCATGAAGCAATTGTATTGAACCATTGTGACAACACATGTTTTGGTCACGTGACTAGTGATGTTTGAAGCACTTGAGTGACGTTTGAAGCAGTTGAGTGCCTCAGATGTCATACAAATCAGCTGGTTGGTTCGGTTTGATATGTGAATCACTTTGCGGGATAGAGTGTGTTTAGGGACAGGATATCCCTATTTAGTGGCATTCATTAGAATTTTTCTTTGCAGACTATGTTGGTTTGCTGCTGTTGTTGCCGTTAGTTGCTTTGAGAGTTAGTAGTGTTGTAGCAGATTGTGTATTTAGTGGAGAATCAGTGTAGATAGAGAGATAGCTCAATAGATAGCTAGATAGTCAGTCAGTTACACAGAGAAATAGATGAATTAGTTACATAGTTAGATAACACTAGATATAGTTACATAAATAGTCCTAAATATTGTTAGATATAGATAAGATATATAAATACTACATATATAGATATATATATAAAATCCCAACTTGCCCCCCACTTCGAGGCAGTCTTTTATTCCTTCCTTCAAGCTGGTTGTCTAGAAAAGATGTGGAAGGTTGGGAACATTGGGGGCTTCAACAGATCCCAGGAACAACATCTGAGGTCTCTGTCCAGAAGAGTGCAGTCCTAGGAACAGCTAAGATACTGCGCAGGACCCTCAAACTCCCAGGCCTCTGGTAGAGGACCCGAGCTCGAAGACAGTTTGTTTTAGGTTACATTTGTTTGTATTTTTCTCATTGTAGATTTAAAAATGTTATGTTGCAAACACACCTGTCATATTGACCTTGTCAGAATGCCATCACTGACATAAATTATCACACACCCCAGCACTGACCACCGCACACAGACAAAAACATTTCTTCTTCTTTGTCCATGGACACAGGGTCATTCAGAAGAAGTACTCAGTTTACCTAAAAAAAAGCAGCAATACCACAGTATAAAAACACTGTTACCATTTACTTGTTACAATTTTACTTGTAAGATGTAAAATATCATACAAAATACTGTACTACAGTACCAAAAGTAAAAGTTCTCAATATACAGAATGGCACATTTCACATGAATGTACAGTATATTATATAAATATTGATGCACATCACATTAAATGTTGCAGCTGGTAAAGGTGGAGCTAACGTTAAATTTATATCCAACCCTGTTTCCAAAAATGCTGAGATGCTGTGTAAACTGTGTTAGGTAATTTCTTAGTTAGATAGATATTGATTAGAGATCTGTTGTATTAGAAAATGTTAGTGTAGACAGGATGTCTAGCTCAGGCTGTTAAATGCTTAGTTCATTGTCATGAGCTTGCTGCAGGCTGCATGTGGGCCCCAAGGTCAACTAGATTGAAGAGTCTGCAGGCAGGATGAATATTGCTATTATTATTGCTATGTTCAGCCGTAATCTTAATCATAATATCTTCCGAGGCTTACTGTTCGGACATGTCCCTGAATGTCCTGTATGTTTTTAGATACACACCACATAATCAACATTCACACACAGGTGACGTCACGGTTTGACGTTGCCTGCGTAGGATGGGGCTAGCCCAACGAAGTGATTAAATTGTATAGGCTATTTGGTTCGGGGTCTTTCTTCTTCCGGGCTGCCTGCGCGCAGCTTTGGGGGTGGAAGATGCCTGGACGTGTAATGTTAATTCTTGCCTGTGACCCTTTGAATAAACCAGCACGGTTATATTTTTTTATATACTCAAGTGGTCCGCTTCGTCTCACTGAGTTCCTGGTTTGAAAGAACCGGACGTGGCTTTATAATAGAATAGAGCCTTTAACTGTAAACAAAAACTGAATGAGAAGCTTTGAAAACCCCTTTTATTAGCAACCCATTCCAAGTTGGGACAAGGGCAGCAAAAGACTGAATGCACAAAAAACACCTGGTGGAACCCTGACAGCTGCTTAGGTTCATTAGCAACAGGTCAGCATCATGAATGGGTATTTTAATTTGGTATTTATGGTAACTTTTATACTTGCATTCGCTTGTGAAGCGCTTTGGCACGGCTTTACCTGCTATATAAATAAACTTTATTATTATTATTATTATTATTTTTATAAAAAAGAGCATCCCTGAGAGCCTGTGTGTTTCAGAAATAAAGACAAGGTGAGGTTAATCACTCTGAGTGGCAAACAGTTCATTAGTATCAGAATGACTTTTCTCAGTGTAAATTTGCAAAGACTTTGGGGGTTTTTCTCCCATGATTCAAAATATCATCAAAAGATTAAGAAAATCTGAAGAAATCTCCATAAGCAAAGGACAAGGCTAAAAACCAACAGTTAATAGCTAAGATTCTCTGGCCATCAGGTGACACTGCATTAAAAACAAACATGATTCTGTAGTGAAACCACTGTATGGGCCCAGGAACACCTCTGAAACCACAGTCAGTGAACACAGGTCATTGCTGCATCCACACGTGCAAGTCAGAGCTCTGCCATGCAAAGAAAAATCCATATATAAACAAGTTCCAGACACACCGCCGTCTCCGGGTTTGAGGTCATTTAAGACGGACTGGGGTGAAGTCAAAAACTGTTCTGTGGTTTGATGAGTAAGAAACTTGTTTATGGAAATCATGGATGTCAAAAAAAAAGCCAGCATCTGCAGTGGCATGGGGTTCATCAGTAGACACAGCATGGGTAACCTGTACATCTGTGAAGGTGCCATTAATATTGAACAATATACAGTATACAGGTTTTGGAGCAAGATATGTTTCTCACTGAAGGCCTGTTTATTTCAGCAAGACAACACCAAACCACATTCTGCACGTAGTCCAACAGCACGGCTCCATAAGAGTTTGGGAGCCAAACTGTCCGACACGTCTGTGCAGATTCTCAGTCATCCAGGTCATAGTAAGCTGAAAAAATCAACTGGACTAGGTTTCTAGGTCGAAGACGTTTCACCTCTCATCCAAGAGGCTTCGTCAGTTCTGACTGACTGGTGTTGAGACGGAGATATTTATCCCCCTCGGTGGTGTGTCAGTCCTTTGAAGGCCAACAATGTCCCCTAATGATTGAGTCGTTGTAGCCCAGTATCGGTGAGAGTCATTACCTGTCTTTGAATCCTCCCCTGTCAACTGACACCTATTGTCCTGGTGGGCATGTTTGGGCAGAGATCTCAAAACAGGATTGTAGATGGATGACAAGTTGTGTCTTAGTCCACCACCCCTATTTAGTGAGGGGTGTTCTATTTTTATAAAAAATAGCTTCCTTAACTCCTCTCTCAAACCAGCGATGTTCTCTGGAGCGGATCTAGACTTCACTGTCCTCAAAAGAATGTCCTTTGTCCTTCAGGTGGAGGTGGACTGCTGACTCTGGTCCACTGGAGTTGGCCCTCCTGTGTTGAGCCATGCATTTGTGAAGCAGCTGCTTAGTTTCACCAATGTACAAGTCGTTACACTCCTGACTACACTTAATTGGACAAAACACCCAGACATAAACAGAGTGATGTGGTGTATGCAATTAAGTGTAGTCAGGAGTGTAACAACTTGTACCTAGAAATTTAGTCCAGTTGTTTTTTTCTAAGTTTTTCAGCAAACTGTCCGACCTGCAGTCCAGACCTGTCGCTCAGTGGAAACATTTATGAAGTGAAAAATATGACAAAGGAGGCTCCAACCTGCTGAGCAGCTGAAATACTGTATCAAGCAGAAATAGGAAAACATTTCCCATTCAAAACTAAAGCACTTGGTCTTTTCAGCTTCCAAACACTTTCAAACTGTTCTTAAAAGAAAAGGTGAAGCAACACAGTGGTAAACACGCCCCTGTTCCAACTTCTGAAAAATGTTACTGGTATCAAATTTAAAATTTCAAAAAACAATAGGATTTCTCATTTACCAACATTTACTATGTTGTCTTTGGACTATTTTCAATTAAATATATGTTTAATACTCAGTATGTTTTAAATGATTTGCAAATTACAGCTTTTTAATTTTTATTACATTTTACACAGCTTCCCAACTTTTCTGAAAATGAGGTTGTACTGTCAAATTTAACATACTTTACATACTGCTGGGCAGCTTACGAATCTTCCACCAATGATAAACAATGTCATATGATTATACTGTATTTTATTTTAGACATCTTATTCTGAAAGCAACTAGTGACTAAACTTGTCAAAATATTTAGTGTAGGTAGTAGTAAGTTGAAGTATTAAGTAGCAAAACATGAAAGTACTCATAAAGTAAAGTACAGGTACCTCAAAAGTATACCTACAGTAAGTGCTTGAGTAAATGTACTTATTTTTCATCACTGTTCAGATCACAGCTTGTGAAAGTGTAAAATGATTTTATCTGGTGTCAGCAGCAGTGGATGGCAAAAACAGTAAATATAATTCATGATAGAGTCACTTTTGTTTTTTCACACGTTGCCACAGCGAATTGTCACACTGACGACTCGCATGTTGACATTTGGCACGTTTTATGCCGGATACCCTTCCGGACACAACCTGGATTTGAACTTGGGGTGCAGCAGCAAGAGCGCTGCGCCTTAACCACTATCCTACCAGGGATGGCTCAGTAAGTATAATTTATACAAAAGAAAAAAAAACAAGTTTTATGTGCAAACAGTAAAACACACTGATGTAGGCTAATTCATATTTAAAATGACTAAAAACAATCCACATATCTGCATGATTACTTCAGAAAAAATAAATGTACATTAGAAACCAGAGTTAATACATTAGAACTTTCTGAATGGCAACAACATATTTAGGTGTTTAGAAATTTCTTTCATTTTGAGTCCGTATATAAGCGGGTTAAACAAGGGATTGTACAAAACTACTTGTAATGTCATTACTAAATGCACAGTTTTTGAAAAATTGGATTCCATTCGAGCTATAATGATATCATAGATACTCAAACAGGAGAAACTGACTAAAACCAACAGGTGGGGCAAACAAGTCTCTGCCGCTTTTTTCCTGACTGCTCTAGAACTTCGATAGACTATAATAAATATCTTTGTGTATGTGAAAACTATGAAGAACAGAGGTAGTACAACCAGATCTAATAAAACAACCACACCATATATAGTAATTACTCTTGATCCTACACAATGAAGGCTATAAATGGCATTGTTACAAAATATTCCTTTAAAAGTAAAGCTGCACAGTTTGGTTTCAGCACTCAGTATTGTTGGCACTGCAATCTGACAAGCAGGCAGAAGCCAAGCAAGAACCAGGAAAATAATCACACTGGTTTTCTTCATGATAGTTGGATAATGCAGAGGTTTACATATAGACACATACCTGTCATAGGCCAGGGCTGACAAAATAAAGAATTCAGAACCTCCTAAAAAGTAATATATATAAAATTGAACAAGACAAGCTGAATATGATATGACCTGCTTTTCAGATAAAAAGTCAATCAACAGCTTTGGGTAGATATTAGTACTGAAAACAATAGAGTTTAAAAGCAAAGCTGCAATGAAAATGTACATAGGTTCATGTAGGTTTTTGTGAATCCAAATGAGACACACAATGGTGAAGTTAAAGCAGATTATTAGAATGTATATTGTAAACATGATCAAAAAATAGACATATCTATAGTTGTTAACTTCCACATGCCCATCGAGAGTTATATATGTAATGTTTAACTCACTCTCCATTTATGTTGTTTAAAACGAAATGCTCAATAATGCAGATTACATGACCAATGCACATTAATAAAAGCTGAAATTAAAGTAAAAATTCACTATATAACAATCATACCAACCTGTACTGCAGTGTCTGACCTTGAAATGCACTTGATGTATTGTATGTTCAGAAAGTGAACTGCTTGTGGTAGTAGAAACTTTTTGTAAGTTGCTTGAGGCTTTATGGGATCTCATTATACTCTCCACTGAAATAAATTCTAAGCTGTAAACAACGTATTGTAATGTTATATAGTGAATAAAACTGTT